TGCCTGTCCCATTTGGTTCTTTAGCCGTCAGAATTGTTGTCTGAAGGAGACTTCAATACTTGGGCCAATAACGTGACATTAAAACAATGCATTTCTTAGCACTTGACATTGGAGTTGGTGTCCACAAACATCTCTGCAATGTCTTAATATACGGCTCTAATCCGTCAGTAACCTGATGACACGTTTGTGAAACAGCTCACAGATTCTCAGTGTGTTTGTTTGTTTGTTTGTTTGTTTTTAAATGACTTCGGCTTCTCATCGTTTATTTTATAATGCAGCGTTACAGGTTTTTCCCACGACCACCTTCTAGTCCGAGGCCATTGTTCTCAGCTAGGAAAGGATGGAGTGGCTACTCCGGGTCAGGGATGCTTTGCTGCACCACATGGAGGAGTTTAAGTATCTTTTTCATGAGTTAGGGAGGAAGAGAAGATGGCTATACCAGTCTGCTTGTCCAGAGAGGTGTGTGTGAAAGTAAAGCTGTCAGTCTACCTCTCTAACCTCATCTATGGCCTCGAAGTCCGAGCGATGACCAAAAAAATCGCTGATACAAACTGCGAATTTTAGCTTTCCCTGAAGGTCGGTGGGCTTCATCCTTAGAGATGAGGTGAGGAGTTAAGTCATTTGTTAGGGACTCAGAGTAGAGCCACTACTCCTTCATATGGAAACCAGCAATCTGAGGTGGTTCAAGCATCTCCTGGGCACCTCCTGGGTGAGGTGTTGCAGGCGTGTCCTACTGGGCGGAGGCTACAGGAACTGGAGGAAGTTACTGGGCTTCTCTGCTTATGGGCCGGATGGATGGTATTTAGAGGTTCATGTTAATCACTTTAAATTCTTCAGACTAGTCTCCTTTAAGCTCAGTGTAGGTCATTATTGCATGCTGCTGCTGTTTACCGGCTCTCCGTCTGAGTGCACCTCCTTTTGCTGCTCCTCACACACTGTGTGTGTGACGTGAAGCTGAAGAGACGAGTGAAGTGCAATAATAAAAATAACCGAGTTGACAACATAACGACGTGTTAGTGTAAGTGTAGTAAAAGCTTCCCGACAAGTGTCAAACCAAATATAATGAAAGAAGAAGTGAGAGAAAGGCAAACGGTCGTTTTTGTATCTTTTCTGCCACATTAGCTCACTCGACCTCAGTTTGTGGTTAAGTGAAAAACTTTTATACAAATAGAAGTTGTTGATATATCAGCTTAAATTTCTCTAAACTGCTGACCTTTGCTGTTTCCTTCATGTTGCATGAGTTTCTCCGCTGCAAACCAGAGCACTGTTTGTCACTGATAACCAATCCAGCTTTGCAGCAACCAGCTGGAGCTTTATAGCATTTTCTTCCAAAATAAAAGTCCCCCATTTTTCTCTTGTTAATGTTTTAGTGACAAACAAACATTTTATAGAATATTGAATGTTTAAAAACTAAAAAGTTACACCCCATCCACGTCCTTTTTTTACTCGTCACAAACAAGGAAATACTGCATCTCAGTCACTGGTGGGAACAGCAAACCCAGTTTCATGCTGCAGGTGTCTAAAGTTAAATTATTTTCACTTTAATAAAGAAGTTTGGTAATAATTTTTCTCTTTCCGACACTTTTTGACGATGCTGCGCTCGGCATGAGTCTGTCAACAGGAGGGTGCAGTGCTGCGAAGCTGGAGGCGTGCAGCAGTCGCCTGGAGCTCTTCATCTAACAGCTCACCGTGGCTCCTTCTCTGACTGTTACTAATGCAAAAATCTCAGACTGATTCACTGATGGCTGTAAGCTCACTGATGGCTGTAAGCTCACTGCTGACGAGCACCTCGCATTTCCTGTGGCTACTTTATAATGAGCATCAACTTGGGTTTCGATAGCAGCAGAAGAAAATGTTCCGTTTGCTTCTATGATGGCTTTTCTGGGAATGTTGCCACCAACACTAGTTGTTAATCCTTAAACTTTATAAGCTTTGCAATACTTTCATCATTAGCTTAGGCTAATCATTATCGTTGTATTACCTCAGCAGGCCATAGATGGTGAATCCTAGTCTCAAACTTTAGATTGTGGCCACTGCCGTGTTAGTTTGCAGAGGTCTGGATAGAGGATGGAGGCTACGGTGGAAGTCTGAGGACTGGGACTCAAGTCTGAGGTGCAGTCAAGTGGCCATGAGAGGAACTGCATTTGCACTCTTGCACTGGCTTCATTTCTCAGCCCTCGACGTTGAAGTTTAGATTCAACAGATGTTTTGTTTTGTTTTTTCAAAAAATGGCAGTTGTCACTTTATCAGGTAGTTGGTGATACTCTGCTGCATTTAGCAACCAAAACAAGAACAGAATATAATAGAATAATCCTTTAATTGTCCCACAAGGGGAAATTTGGTTGTAACAGCAGCAAAAACACACATATACAAACAGAACAGGACACAGGACATAGAATGAGCATGCAAACTGCTCACACACAGTTTTGACATATTTACATCATGGACAATAGTTACCAAAACAGAGTACTGCACAGTTATTAAAATTAAAGTACAGATAAGTGGCAAACCCAGGTTGTAGTGTGCAAACAGAGCAGGATGCTGAAAGATGTTTAAATAGTCAAGAATATTTAGAATAATTGGAAAAGAACAGACTGTGTATTGTACCCGCGCATTAAAAAGTAGAAATGTAACTTCCAATAAGTTAGTATATA